GAATCAGAAAAGAGCACGATACACATTTCATGGCAGGTTTGGGGACAATCCAAATTGTTTCTTATAGCCAACAACTTCAAGTCAATGTATTGTAGACATATACCTTAACTAAAATACATGCTTTTTCTTTAGCATTTCACTGACAAATCAGAGTCTGTGGTGATTGATCAAACCCTAGGTAAATCCTCTACTTCCACCATAACCAAAGTTTTCACTATAATCAAAGTACCAAGGATGATTAGAGCTAATACTATAAATTGAAAGATATTTATAATATCAGGGAATGTTTGATCTAAACCACTAAATTGGATTCCCACGCCTACTTCACCAAAATATATATCAGATTAATGCAGCTGACGAGAGCATTGTATCCTTTTCATGCAAGATTAAATAATCTTTCAAACTAACAGATTGATTTTTATTGGTTAATGAACAGAAAACAAAGTAAAAATAATATAAAGGAAAACCATAAAAACAATAGAGATTGCTTAGCTTTTGCATTTCACAGATTAACTAGAGTCTTATGATTGATCTTGAAAAGTATGTCTTATGTTACCAGCATTGCCAAAGTTTTGCTCATAAACATGTTACTGATTATAAGGTTTTATATCAAACAAACCCCTAACATTACAACTATCAATCATCCTACAGTTTAGTTCCTTCACCAATTCATACAGAGGCACCGCAAATGCCCCAAGAAACATAGTAATCCACAAGGATGAAGGTAACAAGGGCTTCAAGCAATCCGGGGTAAATTGCATGCAAAAAAAGTAAGAGCTTGAGTGGTATGATCGCCGGAGTTTCTTGACAAGACTTCCTTCGATTTGTAAGTATACGAAAATTAATCACAAATTTTCGGCCAATTCAAGATTTTATCAAAAATTGGTCAAATTTTTTTTTATGAATATAACTTTTGTCGAAAATGGATCGAAAGGTTTTGACCAGTTTTCGACCACTTAATATCATTAACCCTAAATAGCAGGTCAGTTTGATAAATGACTACAAATAAGTGGATCCATGTACAAACCATTATCTATATTAATCTTCGCTAGTGCTTGACCCTACAAGAGATTAGCACAACTGAAAATTAGAATCCAGAAAGACTTAAAAGCTATAATAGTGACAAATCCAAAAACAAGAGCATGTTCAAAATCCGTAAATAGAGAGAGACAGAGAAAAGAGAACATTGTTTACTTACTCTGTTCTTCTCTTTAATCAAAGTGATAGTGGGTTCTTCTTCAGCTTTTTGGACTGCTTGAGTTAAGAACCTACTTCTTCTTGGGAAAGGTCAGGGTATGTAGAGTGCATTATCGTCCAAATGTTGTATACGCGCCGGCTTTTGGCGGGCAAGATTTGTAAAGCTTCGTTAAACATTTCCTTCATCTCGGCTGTCCATGCAACATCACCATCAGCAGGTAACACACCACCTTGAGTTCCAGGAGCAGTAGGTAACATAGCAGTAGATGCCACAGCCACAACTTGAGACAAAACAGTTTGAGACATAGCAGCATATTTAGTCAAAGCACCCTCTTCACAGACACAATAGTAGATAGTTATAATGTCAGGGTATGTTTGATCTAAACCACTAAATTGGATTCCCACGCCTCCTTCACCAAAATATATAATATATTAATGCACCTGACGAGAGCATTGTATCCTTTTCATCCAAGATTAAATAATATTTCAAACTAACAGATTGATTTTTATTGGTTAATGAACAGAAAATAAAGTAATATACAGGAAAACAATACAGACTGCTTAGCTTTTGCATTTCACAGATTAACCAGAGTCTGATGATTGATCTGAAAATATATGTCTTATGTTACCAGCATTGCCAAAGTTCCGCTCATAAACATGTTACTGATTATAAGGTTTTAGATCAAACAAGCCCCTAACATTACAACTATCAATCATTCTACAGTTTAGTTCCTTCACCAATTCATACAGAGGCACCGCAAATGCCCCAAGAAACATCGTAATCCACAAGGATGAAGGTAACAAGGGCTTCAAGCAATTTGGGGTAAATTGTGTGCAAAAAAAGTAAGAGCTTGAGTGGTTTAATCGCCGGAGTTTCTTGATCAGCTCGGGCAAGACTTTCTTCGGTTTGTAAGTATACGAAAATTAATCACAAATTTTCGACCAATTCAAGATTTCATCAAAAATTGGTCAAATTTTTGTTTTTATGAATGTAACTTTTGTCGAAAATGGATCGAAAGGTTTTGACCAATTTCCGACCACTTTCTCTATATATTAATTGAGGAGACACTAGAAAAATCCTAGGTGTCAATCAAAGAGCAATTTAAGGAAGACATTATTTAATTTAACCAATCAAAATATTTCAATTAAAAGTATATGTCATGCTGGAAATCCACAATATAATCTCATTAATTTTTAACACAACTAATTAATCCATGTTTTAAATTTTCAAACCAACTAAATCTATTATTTTAAACTTACCATAACATCCATTTTTTGATATATTAACAAGTTTTTA